CCCCCTCAAAAAAAAAAAACAAAAAACAACTACCACTAAACCAGAGAGTCGGCTCGAGGCCCCAAGCGCCTAACGCGCTAAAAACCCGAGTTATCCTCGTACAGATCCATTACCCAGAGGGTCCATATACACTACTCTTGTGGAATTAGGCACCAAAAGACCATCCTTATTATGGTTTTGGGGACCTAGTTCCATAATAGTAGTATATATATGGACCCTCTTGGTTAGGGCTTCAGGCCTCAACAGGTTTTGGGGTGTAGGGTTTAGGGTAGCTGTTGCCCATAGGCTGCATAGGCTCCATGGTAGTTCCTTTTTGTGGCTTATATTTAGAATCCTATAAGGTACTCCAAAACACGAACTATAGTGGAGCCTATGGGTGAGGCCTCAAGAGCCCTAAACCCCTAAAATTCTGAAACCCTCCACCCTTCCAAACTCTTAGAGAATCCCGAAAATCTCCCGTGATTAGAACCCAGAACCCCAAAAGGAACCCTCATAGAACCCCCAGAGCCCCGGCCTTGTGAGTCCAGATGATCACTTGCTTGTCTGCACCACCCGAGGCAAACCTCAGCAAGGAAACCCCTAAGCCCTAAACCCTAAACCCCTAAACCCTAAACCCTAAACCCTAAACCCCTAAACCCTAAAACCCTAAACCCTAAACGCCTAAACCATAAAAACCCTAAACCCTAAAGTTGAGGGTCCAGGAAGTCGGGTTTACAGTAGTTTACGATGGTCGTATGTATGTGTACATATGTATTTATGTATGTTTGTATATATTATGCATACCATACATACATCCATGCATGCATGCATGCATGCATGCATGCATGCATGCATGCATGCATGCATGCATGCATGCATCCATACAAACAAACATACATAGATGTATACATACATACGTACATACATACATACATACATACATACATACCTATATTGTCTGGGCTTTAGGCTGTAGGATCCAGGTGCTGAGGCTTGGGGTTCAGGGTTGAGGGTTTCTAGGGCTCCGGGGCTTCCGCACATCAATGTAAGGGCGTTAGTGGGTTTGGGCCCATCATTTATAGAGTTTAGGATTTGAGGTTTAGGGGCTCTGGGGTTTACCTTCACCATCCTTGCCCCAATGCCTCCTAGTTCTTTGACGACTTATATAAAGAACTCATAGTAAGAAACCCTGAAAAGGAGAGTTTTTTTTTGGGGTTCGGGTAGCTTCGTACTTGCTATGCTGCATTAGCTAAACCCATCTTCGCCTCTACTTGCCTTAGAACTTACAAGGTACCTAACCCCCCAACCCAGGCTTCTGGGGCTCCTTATTATGATTTGCTGGTCATTATACGTCCTTAAACAGGTTAGGTAAGTGTATGTGTGTTGCGAAGATCCCGAAAAGTCGAGAAGTGAAGCCATGACCCAAGCTCCCCGAACCGTTTTCCGCAAGCCTTGCACCTTAGACCCCTGATCTGTAAATCTCTAAACCCTAAACCCTTGTGTAGAGGCCTTAATAATTAGCATAGGGTTTTGCTGTATATTATACCATAATTATAACAAAGAACCCCCAAACTAATATATGTTATTATTTAGGCCCCTATAATATAAGTTCTATACCCTGAACCCTGTCAGTTCCAAACCCTTAAGCAAGTGAGCCGCAGATTCGAGGCAAGGAAGGGCAGGCTGAGGTTTAGGGTTTAGGGTTTAGGGTTATCCCTAAACCCTAACAAGAACATGAAGCTAACTTGACTTTAAGTATTATGGTTAGGCTTTAGGGTTTAGGCTTAGGGTTTCGGTTAGAGGTGTGGCCCAGTATGGCTAAAAGCACTTCGATTGGGGTTATAAGGCATACTCGCAAGTGGAGTTGCCCTAGCTATGTCCTACTTACTAAGCACCCACCACCATCCTCCAGACACCCCAAATCCTCAACCACTAAATCCCTGAACCCTAAAAATCCGCCACAACCCAGGGATCCGCACTTCTTGCCGTGTCTGGAGTAGGCGACGCAGAAGACGCTATCCTGCTCAAAATCGTTGAGGGGTTCCGGGTTCGATCCGGCTCAAGGGTCCTGAAAAGGGGCTCCACAAGGGTTTAGGGTTTAGGGTTGAAGGGGTTCCATCAGGGTTTAAAGCGTTTCGGGCCCTAAAGGACTCTGTAACTTTTCATGAAACTTACGCTGTCGACGTGTTATAGGGGAGTCGAAAAAGACTATATAATTGCTCATGAAAGTCATGCGGTCTAAGAAGGTGGTACAAGGTTGTACATACACCTTAAGAACCTAAAACCCACTTGTTTGTAGGTTCTTCTTACAAACCATATGGGATTTATAGGGACCCTACAAAAAAGTGGGTTTTGGGTTCTTAAGGTAGAGTAGAGTTTTGGAGCTCGGGGAGGTTGGGTTTTAACAGCTTGAGTTTCGAATTCAGGAGCAGCTCGGAAGGAAGGAGTTGCAAAATATCTGCCACGCCTAATGTAGGGGCCTTAATAACTAGAACAGGATTTGGGAGCCCATTATAGTATATTTATAAAAAGGAACCCAGAAAAAAGCGTAGGTAATTATTAAGGCCTCTATAGTCTATAGTACACAAATCTGCCCTTAACCCGTCCGGCCGCCAGTGGTTTCCCTTAACCACTCTAATTACTGTAGCTTCTAACGACCCCAGGGACGCAGGTCACTTGCCCTGACCGATGTCCAACACCGCATAAGCCCTGAACCCTAAACCCTAAATCCCCAACTGCTCCGGATGTTAATTATCGTAATTGAAGCCCTCCTGAAAAGAACGTATATCATGTCAGCGATTCGAGTTCGTGGCATGAAGCTCGCCCGCAAGCGGTGCATGTACATGATATGAGTCTCCAGTTCCACGAACAAGATCATCTCTAGGTCTCACAGGGTTTGGGTCCAATGTAGTGTACGTTAGAGGGGCTGTTGCCCTGAACCCTAGGCCCTGACCCCTAAACCCAAAGCCCCAAACCGGCTCCTTGTGGCCTTTCAAGGAGTGAACCTGGGCACGGCTGAACTTACCACCGGTCTCGGAAGGTCTATTTCAGAAGACTAAATGACTAGACTATTAGAACAAGGCTTCAGGGTATATTATACTATATAAATATAAACAAGAACCACCAGCATCGTATTTCTAATTATTTAGGCCTCTACGTTATGCACGTGAGAATGTTCAAAGTACTGCAGGTCAAAACCCAACAGTCGACCGAGTTTAGGGTTTAGGGTTTAGAGCACCCAAGCTCTAAGGACCCCTCACAAGTCACTTAATTATAGAACCTAAGCGCGTTAAAACTGTTAATTGATGTATGCTCCTTGAGATTTCGAAGAGGGTCTTCGGGGAGGGGGGGCGGGGTGTTACCAGTAGAATCGCGGCTTCAGAGGGAGATCTCTGTAGACTGTGAAGATTGGGTTTGCGCGGGAACCTATTACTGTCAGGGGGCTTAGAACTTAGCCGGGCTATGCGTAGGAATTTAGAAAAGAGCCACAACAAAGGTGCTTCGAGCGCTACTTCATGCTGCTGTACAGAGCCCTTACTACATCCTTATGTACCTGTTGGAACCCTGTGCAAACCTTAATTAATTTTCCTCACAATCAACCTGTACTGTCTACTTAGTCTACTCTGACCCCTACAGAACCCCCCCAAACCCTCAACTCCAAACCCCAAATCCTAAACCCCTAAACCCTTAAACCCTAAACCCCTAAACCCTAAACCCTAAACCCCTAAACCCCTAAACCCGAACCCCTAAACCCTAAACCCCAAACCCTAAAGCATAGCCAGAGAAGCGAGGTCTCCATCTGTGGCGTCGTAGACCAGGACCCGGTTGCCAGCCTTCCCGCTGCGAGAGCCGCAGAAGGGGACTCTAGGATACGGCTTCCGGTTCAGGGTTTAGGGTTTGGGTTTAGGGTTTAGGGTTTAAGGTTTACGGTTTAGGGTTTCGGGTTGATGGTTTGGGCTTATGACGATGTTGGTTTAGGGTTTGGGGTTATGGGTGCAGGGTTTAGGGTTCTGCCTATAGTCTCCGTTGTAGTTCTTTTTTTGGGTTTAACCAACTTGTTATGTAGGATCCTAGAAGGTAACCCCAAAAGGGGACTCCCATGGAGACTATATGTACAATTCATGAGGTCATGACACTGATCTCCATACTGAAACAAACCGGATTTGGTAGGCTTCTTAGCGTTTGTCTTGATGACCTGCATCTCTTGTAGAGTGTTACCACAAGTCCTATCCCGTTGGCTAAGCTCGAATCTCAAAGCCCTCAAAATCCTGGACCTTACCTCCCCAACCCTACATGAAAATGGTTGTAGCTCAGGGGTACGTTGAATATCAAAGTGTTTCTGTTCTTTCCTTTTTCAGGATCGTTGTCCGACGGCGGAGGTTCAGGACTCTTCGTAGCTCCCGCCTCATTCCTAGCTGCTAGCACCCGACTACACAGAGACAAAGACAGAAACAGAGAGAACAACAGGCTTGTCGATTCACCCGCATGTCGACTCTTCATTCTTCACAACTGCTAAACTGAGCCCCCCACCGCAACGATGATCTGCGTCCCATCAGGCTTGAAGGCAATGCCTCAAAGGACATCTTCTGAACAATTCTTCGGCTTTATCGACCCTATGATGGGAAGTCCGTGCTCCCAGCCACTCAGATGAACCTTAGACCTTAAAACCCTAAAAATCCGAAATCCTGAACCCTAACAAACCCTTTGAGCCCTACACCGTACCAACTGTCGAGCCCATGGTCATGCTACGTGGTCTTCACCACAGCTCTCTACGCTGGTTCCAGGACGTTGGTGTAGGAGGGCTTAGGGTTTTTGGGGGGTGGGGTTTGGAGTTTAGGAGACATGAGCAGTTCGAACGAAAATCGAATCCCTTCTTGGTGTCCTCGTTTCAAGGATCTGTTAGTTTCCCCTAGGGGAAGACACAATATGCAGGTTGGTGGGTTAACGGCTAGGGCTTGTTTGTGCTTACACGGACCCCTCAGTAGTATGCCAGCTGAGTTCGACTGAGCTTTCCGTCGGCAACAACTCTTACAACATGCAAAGCATGCGAATCATGTTGTGCATCCTAAGTACTGATGACAACCATAGTAGGAATAACATCAGCAGTAGTGCTAACAATAATAAGCATGTGTAATGATTATACTAGCAATGCAATAACAACAGTACTAGAAACTAGAAGTAATGGCAAAATACACGCAGTAGTTAACAATAACCACAAGAATACTAACAAGTATCCTCATAATCACACCAATAACGACACTACAAACTTCAACAATCAACAAAACATCAACATTAATAACAAGCAGCACACCAACAACAGCGCTTCTTTAATCCTGCCCAGAAGCTAGGTCGGGACACTCAGCACTGCTTAACCCCATGTACCCATGGTAGTCTTACAGTGACGAACGTCCGTCCAGCGCGCTACGGCTTTCATACAAATCACCTGCGTGTGTTCTGCATCCCTATCGGTACCTTCAGCAATGGGTGTTCAAGCCTATGCGACGGTTATGACGTTACCCAGAGACTCCAATATCCCTTAATTAAGGAATATACTTGTAGGATCCCGAATATGATTTAAGGTATATTCCTTAATTAAGGGATATTGGAGTCTCTGGGTACCTAGCAGCCCCTGAACCCCTAAACCCTAGCATCTCTTTGTGGACCTTTGCGAGTAGAGCGCCTCAAGACGGGAATCTGCCAAAAGCTTTGAGGCTCTGGTGCGTGTGATATATCTTAACCCAAATAATAACCTACCTTTTTAAGGACTCATATAACCAAATGATAATAAGGAACCCTAAAAAGGTAGGTTCTTTAGGGTCCAGGTATTAGTGAAAGGTTGTGACCTCGAAGTTCTTTTGGTTCAGCCGCTTCTATTGTGAAGCGCCTTCTGTATCAGAGTTGATACGACTAACAGAACACCCTAGACCCTAAACGGTGAACACAACAGGGCAGTGCAGCTATATAATGTTGCGAGAATCCCAGGTCCTTTTCCTCCTGTTCGTACTTGGAGTAGCAGGGTAAAGGGTTTAGGAAAAGGTGTGTAGGGTTTAGGGTTTAAGGTTTAGTGTTGGAATGTCGGCTTGCCTTCAAACCTCATCAAGCCGCCTAGCCCCGCCCAACCCACACGTCACGCCGGGTAGCTCCAGATGCAGTTGCTCCACTTCTCCCTCTCGGGCACCTTCGCGGCCCCGAACCCAAAATCCAGAACCCTAAACCCTAATCCAGAACCGGCTCTTGCTGTCCCAAAGGAGTGGCAAACCTACGAAAGAAAGGTCATTGCAGGTCTATCACTTACTGTAGGCGCCTTAATCATTAGAAGAGGGTGCTGGGCCCCATTATACTATAATTGTAATAAGGAACCCCCAAAATAATGTAGGTAATTATTTAGGCCCCTATATTATTGGACCGCAGGACATGGGTGTAGGGTTCAGGCTTCTGGGCTGGTCGCAGGTCTAGAGGGGTTGCAATAAGACATGATCATCAGGGTTTAGTTCAGGGGTCTTGATAATTGCCAATAGGGTTTCGGGGCGCATTGCATTTTCAGGAGCCCTCAGGAGTAGTGTTGGTAGTTTTGAATATCAGGCGCTTTACCTGACTTGGTTCGAACTGTTGATTTGAGCGTGTCAAGTAATGCAGACAACCGAACCTTACATAATCGCAGCTAATGCTTGGTTAATCACCGTCATGACAACTTTAAACAGCAAGTGTACGAAGAGTCAGTAATCACAACGCATGACTGCGCGCACACACTCACACATGCACGAGATTGACAAGATAATGGCAACACTGCCAACATGATCACATCTTAGAAGCAAGACGGCAGTAACAATATGGACCCATGAGCACGTTAACGATAACTTTATCACTAGGTATTTCACGAAGTAATGAAGTAGTTAAGTAGGCAAGTATGTAGTTGAGTGGTGAACTGACTAACTGTAGTTAACCGTCAGCTAACTAGAAGCTTTATGTAATTAACAAAACAAGTCACTTAGACATAACTTGCCAATTAACAATAAAGCTAACTTAGTAGTTCGACGAACTAGTTATGCAATGGCCATGCTTTAGTTATTATCTGACTGATGACCTCATTGTCATTACGGCCCGAAGTCACAGAATGGATGTGGAGGGCGTGCCTTGTCTTGCCATAAGGTCACGGTGCGCATCGCTGGGCGGTCCGGGCCGAACCTGAGCCGCTGATTTTGTTTTTCGGTGTCCCAGTCTCGAGATTGAAATCCTCTTCACCAAGCCCTAAACGGCCCAAAACCCGAAACTCTTACACCCTGCACCCCCGAAGCCTGACTCCCTAAACTCCCAATCCTTGACGGCACACTCCGCAATCCCCTAGACCCTCCACCTACCCTCCATAAGACCCTAATTTGTACCCCTATTTGAGACCCTATACCCCTGCTTGAGGGTACAAGGACCCCAAACCCTAAACCCTAAAACCCTAAACCCAAAACCATTATAAACCCAAAACCCAAAACCCTAAAACCCTAAACCCTAAACCCACCGTTAGACCCCAAGCCCAAAGCCATCCGAGACCTCGCCCTGAGCCTGCAGGCCGAAGCCCCGAAGGCTAAAATCCTTTAAAGAGTTGGTTTAGGGTTTAAGGTTTAGGGTTTAGTGTTCGGGTTTAGGGTTTAGGGTTTAGGGTTTAGGGTTTAGGGTTTAGGGTTTAGGGTTTAGGGTTTGGGTTTAGGGTTTATAGGGTTTGGGCCACAGGTGGTCAGACAGCGCAGCAGCAAGCAGCCAGTTCTGGAGGTTTGCCACAAGCTTCTACTGCGGCATTTAGGGTTTAGGTTTTGTGTTAAGCTTTACTACAGGGTGTTATAGAGTCCGCGTACTTTAGTATATACCCAGATCCTGAAGTACCTATATACATGGGAATCCAAGGCCACATGGACCCTAGGAAACCCCATAGCGAACCCTAAAGCCCACCCAGTAGCAAACCCCTTGCGAAACACCCTAAACCCTTGCAAAGCCCTATAGAAGTACATGGACCCGAGCCTTACTGTAACGCCTTTCTCTCTCAAAGCCCATTGCTGCGCTAGACTTACCCCACAACTCTGAAGCCCTTTCGGGTTTAGTGTTTAGGGGTTCAAGGCCCTTTAGGGTTTATGGTTTAGGGGTTTAGGGCCGACTAGGCTAGGGCTTTACGAGATGTTGTTGGAATTCTGAAGGGGTTCGCATGCTGACTTTTAATCCGGATGCTCGGACAAAAGTTAGCATAGCCGGCAACAAGAAACATCCATGCTAATTCTTCACGCATATTACAGCACAGCTATGTACTGATGATGTAGGGGTACTGTTGCTGTGTATTCGCCCGTAGGTTGCCATAACACTCCAGTTTCAACCCTATGGCGGAAGTCTGTAGACAACTAGGGCCGCAAACTCGAAGGCCCGTAAACTGGGTTGCTGTTAAGGAACTTAATTAACGTTCCAATAATGGGGATATCGAGCAAAAAAGGGTTTCCTGATCATAGTAACTTAGCTTAAGTTCCTTAGCAGCCCTGAACCCTAAACCCTAAACTCTAAACCCTAAACTTAAACCCTAAACCCTAAACTCTAAACCCTAAACCCTAAACCCTAAACCCTAAACCCAGTAAACCGGTGCCCTCCCTTCCCTGTGCCCCTTTCTCCACTCTCTGCTCTAGCAAGGCAAGAGCTTTCTGCTTGACCTCCAACACCATCCTGGGACGATCGTCATAGGGTTTAGGGTTTAGGGTTTAGGGTTTAGGGTTTAGGGTTTAGGGTTTAGGGTTTAGGGTTTAGGGTTGGGTGTGTATGTGCGCGCTCTTCATATGGGTAGTTGTCTAAATTAGGGTCCCTTTTAGGGCCCTTTTATAAGGATGCCGTACTCTATTGAAACCTAAAAGGGACCCTACTTTAGAGGACTACCGATATATACAAACAGAATATGCATGCGCCCCAAAATAATTCGACTGTCGGTTTAGGGTTTGCGGCTTCTATGCCATACTACTTTGAGCCCCAAGGAGTAGTAGAAGTAAGCACGAAATCCCTCCATAAGGTTTTGGGGTTGGTTCAGGTTCATAGGCTTATGGGCTTAGGGCTGAAACTTCAGAGCTTAATGTCTCATGGGTTTCACATCAGAGGGGCTATGAGTGCAAGCCTGACGTGATCCTCATCAGGAAGGAAGGTGCATAAAGAATTGCAATAAACTCAGTTTAGGGTTTGGGGTTTTAGGGGCGTGGGTTCAATCTGTAGCGGATGTCGGGTCCTTAAAAGGACCAAGCCAAGACAGAGCAGCTGTGTAATGGACCAGACCCTTAAATCCACAACTGTCCACAACTTCCTCCCAATTTCTCGATGCCTAATTCATAGGCGTTGAAAAAGCACTCAAACTTTAATTAAACATTGAGATCCTATCTGAGGGTCTCCAAGGACCGACGATGTTTCTATTTGGGTGAGCCTGTCGCGTCCCAATGGCCAGTAATAGCCAGCCCCGGCAAAGTGCTATAAAACGACGATGTAAGTTCGATGAACAACTGACGGAAATCCTAGATAAGGTCGACCTCCCACAACATGAAGTGAAGAATCGATGGTGTTCCTCACGTGTTTATGTATATGGCGTGACCATTTAGCATGACTACAGCTTCTTGTTGCTGCAACTACCCCTAAACCATAAACCCTAAACCCTAAGCCCTAAACCCTAAACCCTAAACCCTATGCCCTAAGCCCAAAGCCCTAAACCCTAAACCAGGTTCTCCGGCAACCTCATGACAATCAGGGACACCCTGTCGTCAGATCAGCCCACCAAAGCAAAACCAAAACATCGTACCAGCGATACAAGAGAGCAGAATACCCCTAAACACCAAACCCTAAACCCTAACACCCTAAACCCTAACACCCTAAAACTCTAAACCCTAAACCCTAAAACCCTAAAGCCCTAAACCCTAAAACCCTAAAGCCCTAAACACTAAAACCCTAAAGCCCTAAACCCTGAAACCCTGAAGCCTTAAACCCTAAAGCCCTAACACCCGAAAACCCAGTCCGGAACCCCAAATGATAGAGCCCGGAGCTCAAGCTCCGAAGCCGCAGCATCAATGAACCCTCAAAGCCCCAGCCCCGGATTTAGGGCTTTAGGGGTTTAGGGTTTTAGGGTGTAGGATTCGAGGGTTTAGGGTTTAGGGTTTAGAGTCTAGGGCTTTAGGGGTTTAGGGTTTAGGGTTTTAGGGTGTAGGATTCTAGGGTTTAGGGCTTAGGTTTTAGGGGTTTAGGGTTTGGGGTCAGCCCAAGACTCTAATCCTGCATCGAAGCTGTCGGGTTCAGGATTTGAGGGTTTAGAGTTTGTCGCGCCTTAGGTCTCAGATTTCTAGATCCCTCAAAACTGCTCTGGGTTCACAGACCCTAAACCCTAAAACCAATGGACCCTAAGTCTTAGATGTATAAGCCCCAAAACTGCTGTGAAAAAAGCCCTAAACCCTAAAACCCTACACCCTAAGCCCTAGGTCCTATAGGTTTGTAAACCCCCAAAACCGGCGATGAAAGAGCCCTAAACCCTAAACCCCTAAACCCAAACACCCTAAAAACCCTAAAAACCCTAAATCCCTTGAAACAGCCTAAAAACCCTGAACCCTAAACCCTTTGAAACAGCCCAGCATCCGGTTGGTTTCCGGCCACATCGGCTGTGCGCGGAGGAGCTCCGAGGCTTCCATCGAAGCCTCCGGGTCTTGGACCTGGCGAGGAAGACTCGGATCCCTGGTTTGGGTTTAGGGTTTAGGGTTTAGGGTTTAGGGTTTAGGGGTTAGGGGTTAGGGGTTAGGGTTTAGGGTTTAGGGGTTTAGGGTCTAGGGGTTTTGTGGGTTTAATTGGGGGTTTAGGGTTTAGGGTTTCGGGGTTTAGGGTGTTTTGTTCTAAGAACTCGCTTTTCGGGTTTAGGGTTTACGATAACGAAACTGATATAGAGTATTTTCTATAGAGAAGAATAGGGTTCTTTCTAGGGTTGAGCGGGTTCTGTGAGGATTGCTGTAGCCCAGAGGGTCCATATACACTGCCATTATGGAATTGGCCCCCCAAAAGACCATCCTTATNNGTATATATGGACCCTCTGGGTAAGAGTTACTAGAAGGCTGCCTAGATTATGTTACAAGGTTTCTGTGATAACCGGCCTTCATGCTGAGAATGGGGTTCCTCTAAGGGTTCTGTAAGGGGTTCTATTGCCAATGAAGGGCTTACTTTAAGACGGTGCCTTCGTGATTAGAATAGGTTTTGATCTTGGTGGGATACCATAACCGAGTTATGACAGGGCCCACAAGGCTGTTTCCGACATAAAACTTCTTAGGCTCCGACTGCTGGCCTCTCTTGTATTTGTTTGTTTCTGATCACTACCCTTTGTGTTCCTAAATGCCGGTACAATGCGAACCTGTTTAAGCGTTTTTGCTCGTCCACGGGGCGTAGGGCTCAGGAGCATCAACGGTTCAGGACGTTTGAACTGCATGGTCTTGATTAGGGTGTAAACCAGTTTGGGTGGGCTTCAGGCTCTAAGATAATAGCGGCCTGAAGAAGCCGCGGCCCTCGGGTACTAAGTATCTGATGCATGAAAGGGCCTACATAATTGGACTACGGTTCCTTAAAACCCTAAACCGGGCTTGGGGGATATGTCGCAAACTACTTACAGAACAACATGGGTAGTTCTCCAGGCCCCTATGTGACCTTAGTTGCTGTGTCCTTCCACCCTTGACCCAACCTTAACCACACGTTGTCCAATCCTTCGTTTAGGGCTGGGGTTCAGGGTCAGCGTTTAGGGTTTAAGAGGCACCTGCCCCAGTGCGCTGACGGCCGCTTGGCGCACCGCCCAGTCGCCGTGCGTCAGGAGAGGCGGAAGGGCGGCGAGGGCCTGGTTCGCAGACGGTTTTGATACGTTGAAGGGCGTTGCTGATACGGCAACCGGATGTGTCCGGAAGCTGGGAGGTCCATGGAGGTCCTAAAAAAGCACCTACAACAAACAAGTAAGGTTGGGATATCCCATAACACCCCTCTTCAAGCAAGTGCTGCGATATCCCACCCAACCTGTCCTGACCATGATCCCTTGGGTTTACAGCCGACTTCGGGGTCTGGGGGAAAAAACAGGGTTGGGGGTTTAGGGGTTTAGTTTAGGGCTTTAGGGTTTAGGGTTCATAAAGGCCCTGAACCCCATAATTGTTCTATACCCCTCAGCTCTAGAACCCCTGAAGCCCCCATCCCCGAGATCCGGATCCCTCAACGCCGAAAGCTGTGCCCGGCAGGCTCTTAGGGTTTAGGATCTATAGGGCCTAGGTGGTGTAGGGGGTTAGGGGTTTAGGGTCTAGGGTCTAGGGTTTAGGGTTTAGGGGTTTAGGGTCAGGGGTTTAGAGTTTAGGGTTTAGGGGTTTAGGGTCTAGGGTTTAGGGTTTAGGGGTTTAGGGTCTGTGCCTGCTCGGTGCCCTTGCCGCGCTCCAGAAGGACTGCAAGAAGCTGGACCTAGGCGGGGAACAGCCAGGGCACTTACGAGCAGTTTCGAAATTTCGAGAAGGATTCCGCAAAGGAGCCCTTATGGTAACCCTTATGCTGCCCTTCAAGTCTCCTTTCAAGGATCCCTTTCGTTCCTTTCAGCAAGCCCTGAAGAATGACAACCCAAACCCGAAAAAACCCTCGGCCCTGACCCCATTGAGCTTTCAAAGGAAGTCCTTCCAATAATTTGTGTTAAACCCTAAACCCTGAAACTTGAGGAAGTGCAACCCAAGGTTTCCGTGACATAGGCAGGAGGTCGTACACCCTTCGTCCTAAAGCCCAAAAGCCCTGAGGCATAAGGGTTTAGGGTTTAGGGTTTGGGGTTTAGGGAGCAAACTGAACACAAAAGAAAAGCCTAGGTTATCCCAGCTAAGCCAAGGTACGGCGCTCTGCACCACGTTCGACACGGGATCTCGTAAGCAGCGCCCAAGCTTCTCGGGGAAAAACTCTATGCCATGGATATGCTCCAAAACCTGACATCGAATTCACCGGCCCCTTGCAAAACGCAAAGTGCAAGAAACCCTAACCCTAAAACCTTCAACAACTCTCATCAGGGTTCTCAATATGCTTCCACCCGTGATTGAGAACACGGGGTCTCTTGATGTCAAGTTTCAGATGTTGCTGATGCTTATATGGAAAAGGTCCTTGTGCCGCTGGAAGCATTGCCATGGTAGTCGACAGGTCTACAGGGCACTACCGGCATCAGGTGGGGGGTTTGAGTTTTGACCTTCTTGAATCGGGTTCAGGCCCCAAATCTGTTGCGGGTAACGCGGGAAAGTCGGCAGGGTCTTGATGTGATTAAAACGTACAAATTCGCTATGGCCCATGGAGTCATGACCCTGTTAAGTTACTAAATTTGACACGGCCAAAACGAACCAAGACCCAAAGGAGTACTAAAGTATGCAGCTCTCAGGAACGAGTAGGGCAGCCTGTCGAATACCCTCGTCCTCGTGACGCAGATGCTTCTCGGCCGCTTCGGTGACTTCATCAGGGAAAGGCCGGGGGGTAAATGCGAGCAAAGCATGCAAAGACGCCAGCTTGCACAGCACGCTGCTGTCATTCAGTAAGAGGAGGATCGCAAGGATTGCTTCAGAGTCCTCCTTGGCACCAACTGCACGGGGAAGCAATTCCGCGGCGATAATCCTGGACCAGTCGAACAGATCCTGCTGGATGACCTCGATGAGCACGGCCGCCGCATCACGGCCCTCTCCAAAGCAGATGAGTCGCTCGAAGACTTGGGAATACCTGTCGCCCAAAACACCTACGTGTGTGAGAAATTATGCTTAGACAGAAATCGTCATGAAGATCCCCAACCCTACATCCAAATGTTGAGCCACAGGTACACGTGCCGCATCCTGAAGTTCTGTCGCCGGAAGCCTTTGGCAATGATGCGGAAGTTCGAAAGCTGCACCTGGCAGTCGTTCCTTGTGAAACCTGTAACAAACTATATAACAAAACCGCAAGGAACCCTATTGAAACAACACGGTCGAAAGTATAAAGAACTCAGAGAAGCAACGATAAGCACATGCATAAACAAAAGAACTATCTCCCTGTGTCTTTTAATCGACGCCCCAGGGGCGGTGGCATGCCTTTCCTTGCACAGCGTGCGGAGTGGCGGCCAGAATACCGTGTCCCCTTGTGTGAGAGCTTGGGGTTCAGGGTTTAAGGTTTAGGGTTTAGGATTTGCGGTTGAAGTTTAGGTTTTTGGGGCTCAGGGGTTAAAGGGTTTTGGATGTAGTCAGGGCTTGGCTTTCGGGAGCTTGGACCAGCTTGGGATCCGTGCCTTAAGCTCGTCTCGATGGGAAGGCTCGATGCTCCCCAAACCCAGCGGAGTGAGGGCTGAGGGCTTTAGGGTTTAGGGCTCAAGGGTTGTAAGGTTAAGTTGTTCAGGTTCGGTTCTAGTCTATAGAACTTAGAACTTCGAGAAAATGACGATGGATGGGCTTAGTGTATGATGACGCTTACAGAGGTTCGGGCTTCTGATGCTTCGCCTCCGCACAAGCATTTTGGATTCCGTGTTCGTTGAGAGGACGGTCAGAGACGATAAGCTCTCTTCAAAGCCAAGGATCCCAAACCCAAATTAGGGGTTTAGTGTTTATGCAAGCAGTCACGGGACAATCCAGAAGCGAATCACATGTGGATGAACTACATAAAGCGCCATATGACGGCTCAGAGTCACTACAGAGATCTGACAAACCCCAAGCCCCCGAAAACATAAAACCCTAAACCCTAAACCCTAAACCCTAAACCCTAATAGGTTCTTCATCCGCCGCGCTGTGCCCAACACCAAGCTCAAACCAAGAGCCATTCGTCATCCAAACCGCCCGATACAACCCCCATCCTCCCCAAAAAAACCTCGTCCTGCATTGCCAAAACTCAACAACCGGTTAAGGTTTAGGGGTTTGGGGTTTGGCGTTCGGGGTTTGGGGTTTAGGGCTCCCTAACTAAACCCGTCCTGTTCTCGCGAGATGGCGCACCAAGGCATCCATAAGAAGCTTCTCCGCCTTCCTCGCGGCTCGGGTTCTCTTCTTCTTCGTGACTCCCTGTGGCAGTCTTGACACACCCTCAAACACACCATTAACAAGGATACGAAAACGACAAGGACTTGCAGAACTGTTGGTATATTATGATATGTACGTACAATTGTAGGTACGTATGTATTTATGCACGTAGGTTTGTATGTATGTATGTATGTATGTATGTATGTATGTATGTATGTATGTACGTATGTATATATGCATGCATGCATGCATGCATGCATGCATGTATGTATGCATGTGTATGTATGTATCTATGTATGTATGTATGTATGTATGTATGTATGCATGTATGTATGTATGTATGTATGTATGTATGTAAGTACGTATGTATGTATGTATGT